AAACAAGGCCACCATCTTCAAATACAGAGAAGGGCAAGTAAGATCAATATAAAAATAGTGGGAAGTTTGCATAAAACAAAATGTTCGTGCTGTTGTTTAGTTACTTGGTATGGGTTGAAAGAGAAAACAAGCCAGTCTTTCATAACACTTTTAATTAATGGCTTCCCACACCTTTCTGAGTTCAGTTTTCCCATTTCTCAGTCATAAATTAGGGGCTGGGAAGTTAAGCTGGCAAGGTGACTAGTGGTGTGAGTTAGTGAGAGCTGGCCTGTACCAGTTCATGAGCGCCATTGGTGGGTGTGTCTTCCCGTTCCCCGTTAGTGACACCGCTTTGGCGGATTGAATTTCGAATTCCGCTGTGAGTGGGTGCGCTCATACCAGAGAAACTGAAAATCACTACAAATCTGTCTCCCCCGACTCCAAGAACTTGTTGTTAAACATTAACTCGCACACCACTGAAAATAACCTGTTGACCCAATTTTCAGTAGGTTCAACTTGTTTTGGACTTGAGAGTGTGCCAGTTTTCTCAAGAATCCTTCAGTTACCAGGGTTATTCAGATAAAACCCTTTTTTTCTGATTCTAAGAAATTTGGCCCACTTTGTGGCTGTTCTATGCCTAGTCAGCATGACCAGAAGCAGAAACTACCTCTGATTATCTAGTTAGAACAGAACACTTTTGTGATGCTCATTTTAAATGGAAACTTGATCCATAGTTAGAAAGCTTTTGTTCTCTGTGGTAAATAACTGTAACACTAAATGGAGGTGAAGTGATACATTGAAGGATAAAAATATTCTGATCAAGGACCACAAAGTATAAAAGTGGGACAAATTCTAAGATAAAGAGTAGATAGTCAATATTTTCCAGATTGTGTGTGAAACCAAAAATAGCCAAAATAATTGAAGAAATACTAACCTTAAGGGGCTGAACTGACTACTTCACTTAATTTACCTTTAACTCAGCAACTCAGAGGTCACAATTCATATGACAGTTGTTCTATTGTTCAAAGTTACATCTATTTTCCAGTCCACATTCAGGATTTAGAAGACATTTTATAATGAGGGCATATGGGAAAGATTGATAATAAATCAAAGAACTTCTCTAATTCTCAGGATTGTATGATGTGACATTTTACCTTCCTTAATGAAGGTTTGTCATTAAATAACATTTCTAAGCTCAGCAGTTGAAAGACTGTTAGACTTTATTACTGTAATACACTTATAGGGGCTAAAATTGGGCCAAGTTTGTGTGAAGGGATGCAAGATACAAACTAGACAGCTGCTTTTTTCTCACTCATTTCACTCTATTACTGGTTAACTTGGTGGAAAAATGCAAACTTTCCAGGGATTTTAGGTTGAAGGTATCTCAGCCAACATAGATGTGTGCTTGACTTGAGGTCTAATTTAACTCCCATGTAGTAGATATATTGATCAACACAGACCACCAGGGACACTTACAACCTTCCTTTGCCAAAGGTAGACAATGGCATAAGAGTAAAGTGTAATAAATGCCCCTGTCCAGTCCCGTGTCGATATCCAGCTGCCTTTTGTGTGGTGTGTGTGTGTGTGTGTGTGTGTGTGTGTGTGTGTGTGCCATTTTGAGTGCATCAGTATTTCACATTTATTGTAGTGTGATGAAACACCTTTCAGAATGGCCAGAGGGACCCTCAGCAGTAAGCATTCAGGCAGTACAAATTGGAGTGAGCAGGACAGTTAGCAGGGAATATTTCTGAGGTCAAAGTAGTCTGGATAGGGGCGGAATCAGCTAAATGCAGAGTTAAGAGCTACTGTACCTGCCTCAAAGTAAATATAGATTACCTTCTTGATGACAAATTGATCCATTGGACAAGGATCTTTCAGAAAAAAAGACAAGTGCAAAAAAATTAAGTAATTCACACTGACCAATTTTCTAACCCTCTGTACTATTGGCATCCTACCTCCCCGTAACTTTCTACTTCACATCATTTCAGTCTAAAATAATAAATGAAACAAGTAAATACCTATGCAGAACTCAAGTTCCAACATGAACACAAGCAGTTTTGAAAGACAAGTTAAATTCTGCATCATTTAACTTATGATTCTATACAATCATGATGCCAATAATCATTCATAGGTGTGAGGAGCATAGCAAGCACTATTATGTAATTGTGATGATCACATCTGGGAAACTTATACATGGGTAGAAAATCAACCTAAGGCACAAGCACCATTTTTAATTAATTCAGCAAATATTTTTGAGCCTCTGATATGTGCCTGCCTGTTCTTTTATGTTTATTTAGAAAATTGCTGTCTTCCAAAGATCTCTTTCAAACTGATTAGTTCACTTTGTTAAAACTCGACTACACTTCAGTGGGGAAGGAGTAGGGGTGTTGGGTAATGCCTTCACTTATTTAGTTAACAAACATTAATTGAGCAAATACCTATGCTAAAGACTCAATGGCAGATGATGGCATATTGGCCTCAAGCACTTAGTTCTTGCCTCAAACTGCTTACAGTGTATTTGGGAAAGAGAAGCAATTAAAAAATACAAATAAAATAAGTTAGATAATACAAGAAGAATCTCTAAAGGAGGTGTGTTGCCAAATGACTCCACATGGGAATAGATTGCACAAAAGGTTTCTGGAAGAGATTATAAAATCTGTAAGTAGAACCTGAAAGAGTTAAAAAGGGAAAAGAGAAGATGGAGGGCAGGGCAAAGTGGAGGGGCATTCGGAGCAGTAGTAGAACGCATAATGGGTGGACAGGGCACATTCGGGGACACAGGAAAAGTTTGGTTTGGCTTCATACAACCAAAAATCTGCACCAGTTACTGAATACGGCTGTGGGAGCCCATGAAGGAGCAGTATAACAAGCTGGAATCCCAGCTGGAAGCTGGCAGGGTAGACGTTCTATGAAATTATTAGTAACAAGCAAATGAGATGAGTCCCTGTCATAAAGAACATTAAGGTGTAGAAACAAATTGTGCAATTGAGATGATTAACAGAATAAATCAACTTGGTCTGTGCAACCTTCAGGTAGTTTCTTCTGAAACTGTTGGAAATGCAAATTCCATTGCATCTCAAAACAAACAAACAAACAAAAAAACATCTCAGCAACATTTAAATAGACCTGAATTGAGAAATGCAATTTTCAGACTCTTCTAAACTATAATCATGAATTTTGCTTATGAAATTTCATTTCTCATATTAGATAAATTCATTCAAATGACTTTTTTTCCAGGTACATATAATCATTGGGTATTGAGGGTCCCCTGTATGTAATCAGATCTGCCAGGAAAATTGGAAGAATAGATCAAATAGTCCTACAAGTTTTGCAAATCCAAATTCTAAGGGGACCAAACAGCATCCAAGAAGATGTAGAATCTTGTCCTCATAGAGTAAAGATACATCTAAATACATGTTATTTGCTGAGTGTGATGGCAAACCTCTGATATTTCATTGGCTACCCTTGGAAGAGAGTAACGACTTTGTTTAAATAGATTAAAATACTGAGAATTTACTCACTTGCCCCAAACTGGTTTCTTTTCTCAGTTTTAGACCAGGTACCTTTATTTCTAGGCCAATAGGGCACAAATCTGATAGGCACTCATAGAGGGTGAGCATGTTCCCTGAACTGGCCACCCCCTCCCAAGTCAACAATTGAGAAATATCCAAAGGTATTCATAGGATATCCATCTTATGTACTGCTTGGCAATGCTCAGGTGGGAAAAAAAATGGAGAACCACGGAGGCTGGAACACAGTCCTGAATTTCCTTCCTGACCTGAGAGACAGACGTGTACTGTGCAATTAACCAAAGCCTAAAGAAATTTGGAGCTGTGTCTTTGGGGAAAAAAGCATGTTTAATATTTTAGCTTTGAGTGATTAAGTGATTTTAAAATTTGGTATATCATAAGTTCATATTTTCAATTCCCTAAAACTGATAAATAAATAAAAGGTAAAAATAAATCAATAAAAGTGTGAAGAAAGAAGGGGTTCAAACATCAACAGAGATTGCTTTTGAAGTAGAATCCTCAAATTTATAAACTTATAGGTATGAACTTAGTATCTGAAATATTGCTTTCAATTTGCTATAACAATAACATTATAATTATTTGTGGACAAATATGAGGGTAATAAAATGTGTCCCTTAGGAACAAACTGGGAGAGAAAAGGAGAGAGAGAAATGTCATGGGTAGTGAATAAATAGCAACTCTTCCATTTTATGTCAGTAGGAGGTATATCAAAAGTACTTGGTTCTAATTTCCATTACTAAGCAAAATATCAGAAGAGTTCGTTACATGCTTTTTAAAAATGTCATGTTTTCATGTACATAATCATATCTGTGAATGCATTAGGACGACAAGAGTTACTAGTATATGTTTCCAAGTGTGTTCCATTATATTCCAACTGCAGTTTTCTGAACACTAATTTACAGCTGTACTTCAAGCTTACTCCTGCTACACTGAAGTAAATACTGTATATATTTCAGGAATTCTGTGCAAAATTATATATTTGATAACAGAGTGACTGCTGATTCAGTAAACATTGCATAGCTGCTTTGTATTCACTGCGGTGCCACATGATTTTTGCACAGCAGGCACACGAAGGCACGGAATTTGTGTACATTAATATTTTGAAGTCAGATCCTTGAATTCCCTGTCAATCATTTCACATACTGATTGGAGAAGCTCTAGAAGCCCATGTGTAGGAGGAGAAAGGTCCATTTTAGAGATGAATTAACTGAGATTGTGATAAATAAAAATAATTTATTTAGGTAACAACAAATCAAGAACATAAAGAGGAAGAGAAGATAGATCATGGCCTATTAATTTAACTAGCTTCAACCCCAGCCTTCCAGTAAGTGTCAAAGGTACAGTCTCCTGGAGAAAATGGCTGCTCACTTTAAGACATTGACTGAGATTGCATGAGGCAACACAGCTGTCTCACCTCTGAGCATAATATCCTTCACCTTTGATGCCAGGGATGCTCAATGCTTCCCACTCTGTTTTCTTTGCTCCAGGCAAGGGCTAAAGGAAAGAAGAGCTGGCGCATGTAAGGTATTGCAGTTCCCAGGTCTCTAACAGATCCAGGGCATCCGTATACACTGATGGTAAGTAATGTCGGTTCAATCACTTTGAAAACCTAGATAACAGAGGAACAGGAGGATTGTAGCATGAATAACAAAGTTTTTCTTGTAGTTTTTTTCCCCCTTCTATCAATATGAAACTCAGTTAACAGTTGCACCAAACATTGATTTTGCTGGCCTGTTTGTAAGCACTACAGGGGTCTTTTTAGCTGTGCAACACAGACATATGCTGAACAGCCTTTTATTTTTTTCTTACAAGTTTGTTTTACAGGATAGGCTATTGCCAACATGTGTTGCTCGAGTCATTAAGGCAGATCCATGTCATCAATTTGTATGTAAAAATCAACTGTCCCTTCCTGGCCTTTCTTGTCTCCTGCTTATTCTTCAGCAATCCAAGGTTGTTCCCCACCGCAGTCTGAGAAGTTCTGGGTTTCTTATTTAGAGCATGTTTCCAGCATCAGAGCAACAAACAGTTCTCTGGGGCGCTCTCCCCTCACAGCTTCTTGGGCATGCCGTGGAACTCTCTTTACTCTGCTAGGAGTCAGGCACGTGCTTCCAGCAGAGAATAGACGCCTTGGTATAAACTTTTCCACAGTGGTCTCTGAAACAACTTTTCAGAACCCTTGTGTCATTTATTTTCTTCTTTTTTCCTCCTGGTTTGATGTCAGTCATCAATCGAGCAAGAGACAACTCATTTCATTTCTGCGACATACCATGATGGACTTGTGTTGCAACCCTGACTTATTTTGAGAACTTCAATTTCTCAAGCTGAAAGCTTGAATGTCCCACGGTTGGAAGAGCTATTGATCCGACGTAGATGGACAGCTCAAGAGGAACTGATACATTCCTTACAGCACTTTCTTTTTCCTTTGCCTTTCCTGGCCACTATATAACGTAGTCTTTATTGGAGTTTGCTGTCATCTACAAACTTTGATCCTGGCCTCTGGAATATACTCTATTTTTATACCATTTCTTTCACTGTAGGCTTTGTCCTCGTGTAGTATTGCTCCATTTCATCTCAGATGAATTGTCTATTAACATAGGAGTTAGTTATTCTTGGTCCCTTTTAAAACCTGCTGTAGAAACTCTAGGCAATGACATTCATTACGTGATATTCCTGAGGTGTCTTCCTAGTGGTTTTAGAAGAAAGAATTTCTAGTATTTCTCTTAAATACAAGATGCTAATAAAGAAGTAAAAATTAAGAATTTCAGCTATTATTTAAGGTAGTACTTGGAAAAAAAATCTGCAAAAAACCCAGTATAAGTATGAAATAATGTAATTTTTGAAAACCTGACTTATAACATTTCTGGTGGACATAATTAGTTCTGTTTGCCTGTCCATGATGAAAGGAGGTGGCTACACCCTGTCTGGAATTCTAGAGACTCAACTATCCTGGCCTAACATTCCTTTCTTAAATTAAGAAATACATTAAGAGTGGGAGAATTTAGAGGGGGAAAAAATATTATGACCTCTATCTAGGTCTCTACTCCATAAAGACACCCAAAAGAAGTAGGAACTTTCCTTGGCAGATTTCATGGAAATAGACCTTATTTTTATTTGAATATTACTTCTAACATTTATTGCAATGATTTAATATGTGCTAAATTCAGTGCAAGGCAGATACATTTGCTCATCTAGTCCTCTAGAAAGTACGTAAGTTCCTATAAAATACTTCTTGTGATTGTGTCCATTTTGTAGCTCAAGGCACTGGAATGCATGACTTTCTCAAGCTCTACAAATAACAAGAATAAAGCAACTACCGGAACCAAGTCTATCTGACATTGGAATATACGGTGTCCCTTAAAGAAACAGAATTCATCTCAGAAAGGGACTTAGCTAAAAGGATAACCTACATGCATATGGCCAAGTTGAAAGAACCACAAATACAGGGAGGGAGTCAGAGATCAGCAAGAGCACAAGCCATCAGCATCCCTGGGGTCGAATGGAAAAAAGAAGCAAAGAACACAGTTACTGCAGCACAGCTAGAGCTGGGCGAGGAGGAGACACAACCTGAAAGATCTACCCCAGAGACATAGGTGTGGCACCAGGATCTGTTTTTCCACCCTCCAATCACTGGCATGTGCTCCCCATGGGCTGTACCCTACTGGAAGCCAGCCAATGAGAGAGCCTGGGTGATACAGTTTTTAGGAATCAGCATTCCAAGTCCAAAGCAGGGCAAAAGGGGGAAGAAAATAATAAATGGGAGCAGGTGACAGGGCTAACAATTAAGCACACACACTAACCAATTGGTTTTGCGGATAGGAAAAATATCCCTGCTTCCAAATGGCAGTTCAGCCTTTGCCTGCCGTGGTCCATTTCTAGGAAGTAACCCACCTTGCAGGAAAAGGCAATGATGGCATAAGACATCTGACAAGCCACATTAAAAACAAAATACATTTCTTCATATGCATTCCCAGTTTTACAGTATTTTTTAATTTATTTCTGTAAATGAACTAAGTACATACTAAATTTTTTCTTTAGTGTTTAATTTAAAATGTTCCTAGAAACTTTATTTTTTACAACTAAAAATGCATTTTTAAAAGTACAAATAATTTTGAAATATAACCTATGACTAATTCTTAAACCTGATTCACCTATTAAAATATGTGCCTAAAAAACTTTTGTTATTTATTTTTTGACAAATTAACCCCTGTGATTTCTTTTTCATTGATCATGTCTTAAAATATCTCCATTTTTCAACTTAGTCACTGGCATCTCTAATGCTACTGATACATAATAAATTAGGTGGGGATGGAGAAAAATCACAGAATGTCTTAACCTGCTATTCCCAACCTTCACAACCACACGTCAGCCTTCCTTTCCAACCCATCATTTCAGAGCTTCACTCATCCCAGAGCCTGGGCTCCTGTACAGAACTCATGGGATGTGTAGCCGGTGCTCTTGCCCTCCTTGATTGCTCTAGTTTAAATGCCAATTTCAAATCATTGGAGCTTCCTTGCAACTAGTTTCCCTGTAAATAGACTCCTTATCTTTAGTCCTGTCCCCCCTACTCCTGCCAGGGTTATCTTAATAAAAAAAACAAATATAATTATAATGTTTGTCCTCCTAATAGCCTCCTCCAATTGTCAAATGCCCACAGGATGAAAAATCTAAGCTTCTTAACGTGGCAAACAACTAATTTGCAGTCTGGCTCTAACCCACTCCTCCAGCCTCCTCTTTTCCAGTTTTGGATTCCATGCACTCTATGCCCATCCAAAGCAAGACCACAGGCTGCTATTTTTCTCTGCCTTTGTTCATAAAGAAATTGTATATTTTCATCTTCATATTTCAGCTTAAGCTGAATTCCTATTTCCTTTTGGCAAATTTCATCTGTTCATCCATCCATGCATCCATCCACCCATCTATCCATCTACCTAACCTCCTATTAAAGTACTTATTCAACCAATTTAATGATTGCTTTAGGCATTACTTTAGGTCAGGTAATCTGCTAGGAGCTGGAAATTCAATGACGAGCAGAAACAGACATTCCTTGCCAGCATGAAGTTTGGTCTAGTGATGGAAATAGGTATTTATTAAACAACCTCACAATAAGAAGAAACAAAGACAAATTCTGTTATGAAGAAAATGAACACTGTTCCATAAGAATGCTTAACAAGACTATCTACCTTTAACTGGTGGTGAAAATGGGGGGGGGGCCTAATCCTCTCAGGAGAGAGTGATGCTTAAGCTGAAATATAAAGATGAGAAGGAGAATATTTGGCTAAAATGGGAAGGAGAAAAAAAAACATACTAAGTTCAGAGAATGCGTGTACAAAATCTTTGAACTTGGAGAGAACCTGACATGTTTGAGAAGAACTGAAAAGAAAGAGGAGGGATAATTTTCTTTTTTTCCTGGAAGAGAGCTGGAAAGAAAAGATGAAAGATTAAAGTGAAAAGTAGGGATAGACAGGCACTAGACTATCTGAGGCACTGAGGATTCTAGGGAGGCTATCTGAATACCCATGAAAAGCCGTTGTCTGAGGAAGGCAGGAAGGTGATAGGATTGGGTTTATATTTTACCATGTTGGTTGAAAATAGAAAACTGAAGAGTCAGAGTAGAAGCAGGTCAACTTGTTAGGAGGCCATTTCCCTACTCAAGTGAGAGAGGACAATAGGCTGAAGTTGGGTAGGGCAGTAGGAAGAGAAAGGTATGCAGAAGTAACAGATAACCAATAAAATAATGGGCAAGATAAGAGGAAGAAGATGGACACAAGGACAACTCTAATTTCTGACTTGTGCAGTTAGTAGAACCACTCACTAAACAAACTTAAAATTCATTTCGTACATGAATTTTTCCTTGACTTTTATATAGCAAATTTCAACATCCCTTCCCTGGGCTCCTGTGACGATTTATTCATAACCTATTATTGAACTTACCATACTTATGAATTTTATGAACATTACAAGGCTCACATTTTATTCTTTGTTTACTCGCACCTCATGTACAGTAGGTGCTCAATAAAAATTTACTGAATGAATGAATGAATGAATTAACTTCCCTTTTTCCTGCATAGAAAGAAAGTTCTCTTGTAAGGTAAGGGTACAGACATTCAGAATACTGGATGTGGATGAAATTTAACAGATTGTCTAAGTCCAACCTGATTTTTCAAAATGAAGTAATGGATGCTCTGGATTCTTGATTAATTTACTCATTTTTAAATATTGAGGCAATGTGGAGCTAGAACTAAGGCCTTTTCCCACTCCTCTTGTATGAATGACCATTTTGTACTTCTGTACTTTCTGTTTCTTCTCTGGTGTTTCTTTCTGACAGTAAACACAACTCTATATTCTACTGACCTTAATAGTGACTTCCAGTTAAAGTTAATAACTACTGTACACTCATTTACTGTGAAGGCAAGCTCTCAGACATTACTGTGCAACAGTAGTTACACTTTATAATTGTTTACAGGTCAGTTCAACAGCTATAGAAAAATAAAGGAGGATAAAATAAATGTGCTTTAAGAAGCATACTGAGGAATGAATTGAATTAATGACTATTACCAGAGTATTTTATTAATTACAATGTAATATAATTTGGCAATCACAATTAGATTGTGATGTATGTTTGAAGTGGGTTTGCAAATTATGTTTTGAAGAAATATTTTGGGTACAATCTGGCAACTTTATTGCAATTTAAATTGAGTTTTCTCTTCTCTCCTTCCTTCTCTTCATCCCTTTCTCACTTAGCAGGTCTGGAATAAGATATCTGAAGCACAGTGGCACATGAAAAGAAAGAAATGGAAAGATTACATACTCTGTCGTATTTGAGGTAACCTACAAATTAGTTCATTTTGTCTCCATATCTTTTTTGTAGATATAAAAATATAAGAATATGTATTTCTCAGTAGTGTGCCATAGTATTATAAAATAATAATACATGGTATTCTAAATGTCAAGTATATGTATATGTATATGTATATGTTATGTATATAAAAAATTTAGTTGATCAAAAGCACAAAAGTGTTATTCTCTTTCTGATTTTCTTATAGCACCAAGAAAATAAGCAAATATTTCTTCCTGAGATCTAAGTCTGAGGAAATATTTGAGTACAGAAAGTAGACCTTGGTATAAGAAGGCAGTCATTTGATAAAAGAATGAGGATGTGGGAACTGTGATTGTAGCCTTTTCATGGGATATTCAATAATGATAATAAGGATTGTGAATATAATACTTAACATTTATAAAGTGTTTATTACCTATCTGGCACATGCATCATTTTATTGAATTCATGCCTATGTACATATATTGTCTTCAGCCTTGTTTAATACATTAAGTAACTAAGACTCAGAGAGATCAAATTATTTGCTTCTTGATTACAAGCTTGGATTTAAAAATATCTCTCTGCTCCCAAAATATGATACCTCTGCTCCCCATTTCTCAACTAGTTATTCCTCAAATTCCCACTTAGCAATTTCAAACACTTTCATCTTTTTGTTGATTTTGTTTTATTTTCTTACTTGAGGAAATGTAAGTGTTAAAAATATTTAGTGTAGTGACCACCATTGGCTTCTCTGACTAGCACCTTATTCTGCTGCTGTGACCTAGAGTTCAAAGTTCATCTATTGTCCTGGCCTTTTAGATACAGGGCTGAACACCTGTTTCAGGACTGATCAGTTCCTTCTTTTTAGGGAATTTTGGATACAGAAATATCAGTATCTTTCTGATGCTTGAAAATATATCATGAAAAATGTGAACATAGACTGAAAAAGTAGCCAGAGGAGCACATCGTGAAAGGGAAGACTATATTCCAGGGGTGAGTAAATTCTAGCCGAATACTTGTCCTAGTTTTCATTTCAGCTTTTTAGAGATATCTCAAGATCCTTATGATAAATCGCCTTTTCACTTAGTTTATGCCAAATCAGGTATCTATAACTTTTAATGCAAAGGAAAAATAGTGCAACTATTTCAGATTCATAATTCAATCTTAAAAATGTGACTCTTATTATTACTGCATGAAGTTCTCATTCACCTATTATTCATTCAAAACCAAATGTGATCAAGGGTCTACTCTTTACCAGGCAGTTTACTAAATATTGGAAATAAAAAATATATATAAAGAAAAAATAATGCTTGTACAAAAGAAGTTCTAACATTACAGAAGATATTTTTCCACCTTGCCTTCCCCCCCCTCTAAAAATAAATACATTGTTGTATTGCATAATGTAACTATAATGTTTTATGAAGTGGAACGATTATTCTCATATATCATGCCAGGAGATTGGATTGGGGTAAGGGTTAGAATTTTCTTATCTGATTCAGGCAAATGTTCTTTGGGAAGTGGGGAGTCACTCTAATTGCTGGCACTTTACTTGATAAAGACTAGCTAATTTGACAAAGCAACCCATGGAAAATGTCAACAGATATTTAACCTATGCAGTTCTGATATGCTATAAATCAGAGGAACAAATGTTGTTAGGGATATGGGTTCATAGGCTAGTTCTTAAGACATTTGTGAGCTCTTTTCAATGATAATTAAAGACATGCATTTAGATATTGAAACTTCTTTTAGAAAATGGAGTTTTTAAAAAATATTTTGAATTACCTATTCATTAACTACCTTGTAATGTTCAGAGTTGATTGGTCTGTAAAACACTGATTTACCCTAATGGCTTCTAGATGAACCCTACATATTTTTTAGCTGCATCTTCCCTAGTCGAGTGCTATAAGATTCAGCCTTGTTCATTCTCCTTCAAAACTTGATAGTGCTTAGTTAACTGTTGGGAATCTCCTAGGTAGAGCTTCAAAAATTGTGAGTAAATAAAAGAATGAATTTATGATTTATATAGAAATAGATATGTATATGTTTTGATATGTTATATCAAAAAATACAATTGGATTGCATTTTTAAAAATTTGTCTCCCCCATCCCCTATCCAGCCCACCGCACCCCCACCACTAGCAACCACTAATCTGGTTTTTGTATCTATAAGTATTTTGTTTTGTTTTGTTTTAGATTTCACATTTTGTTTGAGAGATCATGCAGTATTTGTCTTTCTCTCTCTCTGACTGATTTCATTTATCCTTATATCCTCAAGGTCTGTCTATACTGTTGCCAATGGCAAGATTTCATTCTTTTTTATGGCTAAATAATATTCCTGTGTGTGTGTAGCACAATTTCTTTGTCCATTTATCCCCCTAAGAACACTTACAGTGTTTCCATATCTTAGTTATTGTAAGTAATCCATCAATGAGCATGGCAGTGTATACGTCTTTTGAGTTAATGTTTTCATTTTCTTTGGATAATACCTAGACGTAGGATTCCTAGATCATATCCTAGTTCTATTTTTAATTTTTGAGGAATCTCCATATTGTTTTCCATTGTATTTGTACCAATTTACATTCCCACCATCAGTGCACAAGAGTTCTGTTTTCTCCACATCCTCGCCAGCACTTCCTATGTCTTGTCTTTTTGTTAATAGCCATTCTAACACGTGTGAGGTGATAACTCATTGTGGTTTTGATTTGCATTTTCCTGATAATTAACGATAGTGAGCATCTTTTCACGTACCTGTTGGCTATCTATATATCTTCTTTGGGAAACTTCAGATCTTCTGCCCATTTTTAGAGTGTTCTTTTTTTTTTCTATTGAGTTATATGAGTTCTCTTTTTAAAATTTTAAATGAAATATAGTTGGAATATAATATATTAATTTCTGTTGTACAATATAGTGATTTGACAATTATATTTCAAAATGCTCACAATAAATATAGTAGTTACCATCTCTCACCATACAAATTTATTACAATATTATTGACTTTGTTCTCTGTGCTGCACTTTTCATTTCCATAACTTATTTATTTGATAACTAGAAGTTTGTATCTCCTAGTCCCATTCACCGATTTCACCTCTACCCCCACGACCTTCTCCTCTGACAACTACCAGTTTGTTTCTGTATTTTATGAATCTGTTTCTGTTTCTGTTTCTTTCTTTTTTTTTTTTTTGTTCTAAGAGTCCACATATAAGTAAAATCATATGGCATTTGTCTTTATTTCTCTGACTTACTTCATTTAGTTCTTTACATTTTTGGACGTTAGTCCCTTATCAGATATGTGACTTGCAAATATGTTCTCCAATTCAGTAGGTTGCCTTTTCATTTTGTTGGTGGTTTCTTAGCTGTGCAGAAATTTTTTACTATAATGTAGGCCCACTTATTTTCTTTTTTCTTTTGTTGTTTTTGCTTGTGGTGTCAGAATCAAAAAATCATAACCAAGATCTGTGTCAGGGAGCTTACTTGCCTATGTTTTCTACTAGGACTTTTATGGTTTCAGGTCTTATGTTCAAGTTTTTAATCCATTATGAGTTGATTTTTATGTTATAAGGTAATAGTCAAGCTGAATTCTTTTGCATGTGGCTGGCCAATTTCTCAACACCATTTTTTAAAGAAACTGTCCTTTTCCCATTGTATATTCTTGGCTCTTTTGCCATAAATTAATTGGTTTTAGAACCATGGGTTTATTTCTGGGCTCTCTCTTCTATTCCCTTGATCTATATGTATATAATTTATGCCAATATCACACTGTTTTAACTTCTGTAGTGTTTTATAGTTTGAAATCAGGGGACATGATGTTTCTTCCTCAAGATTGCTTTGGTTATTCAGAGTTTCTTTGGTTCCACACAAATTTTAGGACTGTTTGTTCTACTTCTTTGAAAAATGTCATTGGAATTTTGTTAGGGACAGCATTCAATCTACAGGTTGCTCTGGGTAATGCAGACATTTTAACAACATTGTTTCTTCTACTCCATAACCACAGACTATCTTCCCATTTATTTGTGACTTCTTCAGTCTCTTTCATTAATGCCTTGTGGTTTTCAAAATGTGTGCCTTTCATCTCCCTCATTAAATTTATTCCTAATAATTTATGCTTTGTATGGATAAATTCCTGATCATATCAAATCTGTGTTATCTGTGATTAATGATTAGATCTCTTTAGACACTGGCATTTTTCGGAAACTACCCAGGATTACCTTTCAGTTCAAACATGGATTAAGTATAGTGTTAAAGCGGAGAGGGGGTCTGAGCAAAGCTTTTGTTTTCTAAGAGGGAAGCTTTAAAATTTAAATGTTTCTGATGTGATTAGCTACAAAATAAACCTGGAAGAAAAATAAAGCACTACCTCTAAATTCTACTTCATGTAAAGTAGAAAGTGTCAGACAGATGCTTATTTTATTTTCAAAATCATGGCTTGATTAGAAATATAGTAAGTTAAAGTTCATGGAAGAGCAATAATAATGTATGTAAAGATAGAAAAGTAGATTAAAAAAATTGCAAATCTGAAATTACCTCTAGGTCACTTGGTTAAGAAGCTTGACAAGATACTAATGAATATCCAAATTGTTCTCTTGAGAATTCTAACTGTAAACAAGGTTTATGAGGTTCTTAAGAAACTAGTTAAATTTATTAAAGTTCTAATGTTTTTTATGTCTTCTCTCTAGCCACAAAGTCTATCCATGATGTATTAACTCCAAACTCTCCACCCCAGTTATGGGAAGAATTTTGACCCTCTTTCTCTTCAACAAGCAATTCACTTTGACTTCAGATTTGCATTTTTAGAATTGAGCTCTCTAAAGATGACTAGTTTTAGTACTACTTTTCAATTGCCTTATGATACTACTTTTCAATTGCCTTATGATAATTCATGTATGAAATGACATTCAATTGTTAAATATAATTCTTAGTCAACCATAATTGTTGACTAATTTGCATGTGGCTCTCCCAATGTGCAAGATGATGGTACTTATTATGCTGATTTCTTCTGATCTCATTTAAAAAAATATGTTGCAGTTTCAACTGGAGAAGCTCTATCACCTAGATCATTAGTTTAAGGATCAAATGAGCGAAAGTAAACACCTATTGATATCTTACCTCCCCCATGATAGGATCATTGTCTTATTGCATTTTTCTTATGGGTAATATTTTAATTTACAAATGGGCTTGCATTTATCATTTCATTTGCATTTTAATTTGTATTCATTTTTTTAAAAGTGGGAAGCAAATCAACAACTTCTAGTTTCATTGAAGTGATTGACAATATAGCAAAATCCTGTTTTTATTTAGTGCCCATCTGTTTTCAGATTGTTAAGAATCAGATTAATTGAATCTTCATATAATTCCTTAAATGTACATAAGGGGCAAGTTTTCTTTGAATTTTATTTAGGTAACTGATTAGTTTCATTTTTCTTGTTCAGAGTGAAAGAGAAGTACAGCAAGACATGAACGAAGAGAATCCAATCTCTCAGTTGCCAGTATAAAATGCTAGGGATCAAGCATAGAACATGCACTGAGCTAAGAAGTCAGAGGGAAAGCACTCAGGAGAAAATAAACAGTAAGTAACTATTCTTCATGAAAATTTAAGAGTTTTTAACTCAACTTGAAAAGAGAAAATTGGTCAATATACATTTGATTTGCTTACTAGTATAACATCTTACTTTCTGGGTTTTGGTAACTGTCTAAAAAGGCCAGACCACTGCATGCTTAGCAGGTCTGATATCCATATGGATTCTCTTCCCTCTTTTCTATAATGGGAAAATCAGTAATAATAATCATTTCCTTTATTGATTTTTAGTTTTGAAACAATTGGTATTTAAAGTAAGTTCTATATCAACCACATCAATACCCTTACCCTGGTTGTGATACTGCAGTTTTATAAGTTATCTTTGAAGGAACTTGGTAAAGGATACATGGGATGTCTCTGTATTATTTCTTGTAGCAAGTTAATCTACAATGTCTCAAAATAAATTGTTTAATGTAGAAAAACAGTAAATCAATCAATCAACTACAAATCTACCACATGACATGAGCACTGATTTCATTTTTTTTCTATTTCTCTCTAGTTCATATATTGTGTATACAGGGTATCATATACACATTTGCTATCACTTGTACAATTTTATACTGAGTTTACTTAATTTAACATTAATTAATAACATATTTTCCTATGATATAGTTTTCATAATTATTATTGATGGCTACACAGTCAAGTTGATAGGCCAAAATTACCCCTTATTTTGGAGATGAAAATGTCCATCTTTCATGTAGAATAGGAGAACTCTACATATGAATGGTAACAAAGGAAATGAATTGGAAGAGGAAATAAATTAGACCTAAACTTCCTCATGGTAGGAGGTTAAAAGATGGGAGAATTTGATGTCTAAAAGCTGTAAAAATCTTTTAATTTGATTCTGCAACAGACTTTCTACCAAAAATGCTATAGTTCATGCATTTTATTTTTAAATTTAAGAGAAATAAAAGCAATCTGTACATGATGAGCACATGGAAGATCATTATGCTGTTGTCTACTTTTGTATGTGTTTACAATATTCAATATTAAAGAGATTTCTTTTACTTATTTATTCATTTTTCATACCATAAGTTGGTCATGAGAATGGTAGTACAGCATGCAGGGTATAGTCAATGGCCAGCAACATCTTTCTCTGTTGATAGACATTAACCACACTAGAGGGGGTGAGAATTTAATAATATGGGTAACTGTTGAATCACTGTGTTGCTCTCAAAACCAATCTAATATTGTATATCAACTGTACTTCAATAAAAATTGAAGAAAAGATTTCTTTCAAAAAGAATTTGCTGATAGAAAATTGTCCCAATACCCTCAGAAATATTCTGAAATACCCCTTGATTAACAGAACACCATTAGCTCAAGCAGTACATTTGTGAAATTTTTTTGAAGTACCTTTTTCTAATTGTCACCGGCAAGAAGACATGATGACTTAATGTAATGCAGTATGTTGGATGGGGTCCTGGAACAGAAAGGACATTAGGTTAAAACTAAGGCAATTGAATAAGCTATGGTCCTTAGTTAACAATAAGGTATGAAGACTGGCTAATTAATTGTGATAAATGTACCATACTAATGTAGGATATAAATAATAAAATAAACTGTATTTAGGGTATTCAGGAACTCTGTACTACTTTTGCAATTTTTCTGGAAATCTAAAACTGCTCTTTAAAAAAGCTTAAATGTCATCTCAATGACATTATTCAAATTCTATATTTCACAAATTAAAATTTGCATTTACTAAACAAAATTATTACACTCTACAGTTCACACTGCTGCACTGTCTTAAATTTTGAACACAAAAATTCCAAGTGATCACAGTGACAGAATTAAAGTAAATTCAAGTCCTATTTCATTGTCTTTTGTCACCATTGTTCAAATGCAGGAATATGTAGCAAATGTCCCTGGAGCTAGAGACAGAAACTGAACCAGAAGGAAGCTTAAATAATTCCAAATTTCTACCTGCTAACTCTCCTGAGGAAACACGTGTAACTGGGCCTCCTTCTTTGAGTCATGGCCCAACTGTAACTCAGAGATGTTAGATTGCCGTCCAGGTAGAATACTATGTTAAAGGATATATACTTTATAAAATATAAGTTTATATACATTTATAATACTTGACAGTAACCACAGCAATTATTATTTCTGGTAAATTTTGGTAACTTCTGAACTGGTAAATTCAACACACCAAAATATTTTTTAGAGAGAGACAGGTGTATTTTATCACTTCTATTGTTTAATATTGCTGGTGGGTGAGTATACTGAAAAGCAAATCAACTTGTAATTAGTTACATATTTTTGTTCCTAAATCCGTAACGTCCTTCCTTGCCTGCAACCAGAGCACACTGCCCCCTACCACCTTTCCCTTTGTATGCTGTTGAGCCTCACACAATTTTAGAATCTGGTGATAGACCTGTTTCCTACTTAGATGACGAGCATGTAAATAATCAAATAAAGGAAGTAATTTCATCTGGTGATAAGTGCAGGGTCGAATGTTCTCCTTGCAGAATGTCAAATGGCCTGCCAAGCACTGTGCCTCTGTCTTTGTAGTAGAAGATGGAAGATGCAGAGATTTTCCTTTTCCTCTCAGGAGGATATCCCAACACATCTTCTGGCTTTCAGGAGCTTAAAAATTTTACTGAACCCCTAAGTTGTTGAATCTTCCCAGGGTTTATGTTTCCCTCTCTGGAGTGCATGTGTCTTACCAAGTCTGTCAGTGTACCAGGCACCCCTTGCTTGCTTGACCAATCAGCACAATGCTATCAATATAATGGATCTGTGTGTTACTTGAAGGGATGACCAGAATGCCAAACCTCACCAGTGTATATATTATGAGAGAGGGAAAGGAATTAATGTGTCCTGGAGATAAACTGGCACATCAATATCTTTGTCATATGAATGTCTATTGTTTCTGATCCTCCTTTTTGATTGGTTTGAAAATCAGAGAAAAGGCTTCATGCTGGAATTTGAGGCTTTATTAATTTGCTTTGTGATGATACCACATCCAGCTTAGCAGATATGAGGGGTTCCTACTTGGTTAAGCCTGAGGTTGTCTGTGATTATTCTCCAGTTTCTACAGGAACCAAAATAAAAAATTAAGTGGAGCTATGATAGGCCCACCACTGCATTCTTTCTGCCTTGCTTTGGTTCTAGTCTCTGCCATCCTCCCTCCCCTATCCTGGGGAGGCAACATTGGTTTTGAATTGCTATCTCAACTAGGAGAAGGCAGCAATGTCAGAGGCTTCCATTGGGCCTTCCCTGGATGGATCCAATATGGGCCTGTTATTTTCCCCCAAATGTCAAATATTTTAATTCCTATTTCACTGGGGAAAAGATCATTGGGCCCAATGTGAGGGAACTTTAGTCAGGGCTCCATTTATTACTTGACTCCTGTAAGTCTCCACTCTAACAGGGGAGTCATGATGGACAACACTAGTTTCTCTGGGTGCTCGTGTCAACTCTGATAGTGTCTTGTATTCCCTTTCCCCAGTGTGCAGTCACTGGAATAAAAAGCTGCAGGGCCCTTTGGAAAAGAAATGGGAGGAACCATCACTGGTATTTACATGCAGAAGGTGTCCTAGGCTCCCACTTCTGTTAGTGGACTCTGAATCCGAAAGTGTACCCATAACTGGAACAGAAGAGGGATCAGATTCCTACTCCTCTCAGTGTTTGGTTATAGATGTTAGACAGCGAACGTGTCAGCTACTCCTTTGGCAGTTTTGGCCCTAAGGACACCATGTTGTATTAACCATCTTCAGGAACCTTTCCAGCCCTCGGCTCTACCTTCGACCTTGTCAACTTTTATGGCAGTTGAGGTCCCTTGACTCCTGAAAGTGAAGTGCAGCCGCTGGGCTTTTCTCACCATGATGCCCTGCACACCTGTGGACAGAATGAGCCCAGCTCTGTGGCTGCTCCTGTCTTTGGCCCTGGCTTCCATTCACAGTTGCATCAAAAAGAATAAAATACCTAGGAATAAACCTAACCAAGGAAGTGAAAGACCTATACTCTGAAAACTACAAGACACTCATGAGAGAAATTAGAGAAGATACCAATATATGGAAACACATCCCGTGCTCATGGATAGGAATAATTAATATTGTCAAAATGGCCATCCTGCCTAAAGCAGTCTATAGATTCAATGCAATTCCTATCAAAACACCAACAACATTATTCAATAAAGTAGAGCAAATCACTCTAAAATTCATATGGAACCACAAAAGACCCCGAGTAACCAAGGCAATCCTGAGAAGGAAGAATACATCTGGGGGGATTATGCTCCCCAACTTCAAGCTCTACTACAAAGCCATAGTAATCAAGACAATTTGGTACTGGCACAAAACAGAACCATAGACCAATGGAACAGACTAGAGAGCCCTGATATAAACCCACTGACGCATTCCTGTCAAGCTTGGCTTATGATCTGCCTTCTTGTGGAACATAATCCTATGGTTGGTTTTATGGCCTCATAAAATACATCTATTCCAGCAGGCCTCCTCATTCGGCCTCTCCCCTCCTTCCTCTACCATCTGTTAGAGCAGCCTGGGTCCTTCTACTTCACTCATCACCAGCCATCACTTTTTCCATACCTCTAAAAGACACCTTAGCATAAAGTTTCCCCCATCCTTTGAGGTCCTTGCCAAGGTATTAAATCCCGTATGTTGAGAAGATGATCCTAAATTGTTGAAGTCATGCTTATCAAGTCTTATATTTTAGCCTCTTTAATTAAGCACCCTCAAAATCCAGTCCCAGTGTTATTCCTCTGGCTCCTTCCAGAATATTCTAGTTGGTATTTGCAGCTCCTTCAGTATGTATTTCTTCCCTCCCAATGAGTCCTAGGACTTCCCAAGGATGGATTTCAGCCTCACCTCTCTCTTGCAGACAGCAGAGAAAGTGGAGATAGCTCTGGTGGTGGGCTACCAGTTGTCTCACAGTGAAGGGGCTTCAGAACTCTTTCCAGCATTTGGTGAGTGCTAACTCCGACAAGGGGAGTATGGAAAATTTCTACACATTTAGAGGCTTCT